TAGATTTAATGAATTTATTTGATTTTTACTCTTTATATCATTGCGTCATACCATGTATTTGACAGATAATATAGCCTAATGTAAACAGTGCATAAACTCTCCAAAATCCCATTTATTGTCTCAAATGAAAGTTGTCTACCTTAAATTTTATTTACTGATAGTAAATAAAAACAGTTTAATGACCATAACTGCACTTTTGATCAATTAATAGTCCCATTACTGAAACCTGGTGAAAAAAAGGGTAGGTCATTATTTCTTGACTCTTCAAAACCTTGGATTTTTTTCCTAAACTAATTGTAAAAATAGTGGAAAGTCTTTAAAGCAGTAGGACAAACAAGACAAAATAAACCAAATCTGATCTTGATATAGAAAGTTTATGTTCCTGTAGTCCAAAATGAAATTTTCAAGTATTTTCTATAAAAGTCATACATTACAGTCAGTTTAAATTGAGCTGTGAATATTGTAATTTAAGTCGCATTATGCTCAGATAGGATTTATTTTTACTACAAATTGACCAAGGATTAAGAATAAAGCAAAACAAAAAAAAAATTATCAACTTTTTTTGCTCTTTTGGTGTCAGACCACCAATTACTCCCTCCAATTTAGAACGTATGTAAAAGTAGGCCTACTCGGTCAAAAAATAGTGCATTTGATGTCATTGTTTACTTAAACTAACCAACAAATTTGCAGAAATGAAACTTTTGGTGAAAGAGAAATATATTAAGACCATTTTGAGCAAAAATGTACTTGTCTATGAGTTTACATTGAACATTGAGGATTAATGCGCTCCATAGTATACTAATTTAAGATTTCCAGAAAACCAGGGGTTATTTTTAGTGGTACATGTACCTCAGTTTGGGAGGTCTCTTCTTTCTTATAAGATTTTAAAGGTATGTTGAAAATTGGCATGTAGAAAGACGATACCTGTACAGTTCAGGATATACCTGGTTTCTCTGAAGTTAAACTTAAGGTAAAATATTTAGAAAGCTGTGACAATTGCAAAATTTGGTTGAACAGATAGGGATTTTTAATTGGTGGTCTGACACCATAACATAACCGGAAATAAACATCCGACTCCAAACACATTTCTTGGGATTATTCTTCGTTGAATTCTTAAATTCGTGGTTCGCTGTGACCCACGAAACCCACGAAAATTGGTATACCACGAATAAAAATGAATCCACAGTAGGTCAGTTTACGGAGAAGTTCAGAACCACTAGGGGTAGGTCAATGATATTTAATATGCAGTTGTATAAGCATTAGCATAACTCATTTCCATGGAGGTTATTTGACCCCACCCCTAAATCATGGTCTTTTGACTTTGAAACTTTTGCTTAATTTACATGTAATAGTTTCTGATTAGGTCAGTTTGAGGGGACACACTAGTGATAGGTCAATTATATTCAGTATGCAGTTGTATTAGAATTGTCACATCTCATTTCCATGGAAATTTTTTGGCCCTGGCCCCTCAGTGATTGTCTATTGACTTTAAAACTTTTGCTTATTTTACATGTATTAGTTTGTGATTAGGTTAATTTATGGGGAAGCCCTAGTGGTAGGTCAAAGATATTTGGTATTCAGTTGTATAAACATTAACGCATCTCATTTCCATGGAGATTATTTGGCCCCACCTCCTCTGTCATAGTATATATTGACTTTTAAACTTTTCCTTAGTTGTCAAATTCAAGGAATATTTTTTTCGACCCTTTTTCGTATGAAACCGGATGTGACGTACTATAATTTGGTGGTATTACACCCTGAATTGAATGTACTGAATTGTTCCTCTTGTTTAGTTAATATATATAGCATCTGATGTGATGCATTTGAATACAAAGTAGTACAAGTTTGAGCTTTCTAGAAAGCTGTGCACTGCTTCGCTCTATCCTAATTTAAGGTAATATGTGTGCATGTGGTTGTTGATTTAGTATTGGAAATGTGGTATTTTGAGATATTGATTGATATAAAATGGATGTCTTAAGCAACACGACGGGTGCCACATGTGGAGCAGGATCTGCTTACCCTTCCGGAGCACCTGAGATCACCCCCAGTTTTTGGTGGGGTTCGTGTTGCTTAGTCTTTAGTTTTCTATGTTGTGTCATCTGTACTATTATTTGTTTGTTTGTCTTTTTATTTTTGGCCATGGCGTTGTCACTTTGTTTTCGATCAATGAGTCTGACTGTCCTTCTGGTATCTTTTGTCCCTCTTTTAGACTTTGAATATCAATTTTTGTACATATATTAAGATGAACTTTTTCTGAAATTTTAAACTAGCTATTCAGTGTTTAGTTGTCGATGTGTTTTTGTGGAGTGTGGTTTTCTAGTTCTTTCAGCTGGTCATTGACTTGTGATTTTGATTACTAGTTCTGTATTTAATTTATTTAGATATATATATGAATGTTTAGGTATATATGGATGTTTAGGTATATATGAATGTTTAGGTATACATGAATGTTTAGGTATATATGAATGTTTAGGTATGTTAATAACATATAATTGTAAACAGCAATAAATATTTAGTTTCAGTGAAAATGATGTTGTTCTACTTTAAGAGTGTGCGTTATACACCCATGCTTTTAAAATTTTGTTCTTTACTTGTTGAAAATTAAAACATGTACAAATAGACACGACTCTGGAGATGTGCCTAGATTGGCAGAAGTTATGAAATACAGATAATGCTTTTATGCAAACATTGTATAGGAACATTGTTAAGCAAAACAAATCGTGCATATTGCAGATTAACAAAGAAAATAAACACGTATTAATAATTGATATTTCAATATTCAATTTCAGTGTGCAATATATGCAAAATAAAACAAACATGAATTAATGACAGTTGATCGGAACTGAAATAGACATAGTTAATTTTCCGGCACTTGATTTCTTATCCTGAGACGAGAAAAGTCTGTAATTCTTTATCTCATTTAAGCCAATAACTGTTGCTGTATCTCAGCCGCATCATAAAGCAACCAATCAGAATCTATATGTGATAAGTAATTATTTCAAGATGGCGTGTACATCGACTGAAACTTATAGCTCCGCACCGTGATGCGAAGCAATAACTTGGTGTGGTTATTGAAGGACAGCCCTTTATAAATACACAAATATGTATAGTTGTACAAATGTATATAAAAGCTTTATACATGCATATATGCTTTGCATACGTTTATTTGAAACAGCATATACCATTCTATCTGTGCCTGTCTCAAGTGTGGAGCCTGTTCACTGGTTGTCGTAGGTTCATTCCTGTCAACTTTGTTTTTCGTAAATTGTTTTGTTATAAACTAGGTCGTTAATTTTGTCAATTGATTTGTTTATATTTTTCATGTCAGGGCCTTTGATAGCCGATTAAACAGTATGGGTTGAAGGCTGAACGGTTGCCCATAATTGAATACATCCACTTCATTTTAACTTTGGTGGATAGTTGTCTCATTGGCAATCATACCACATCTCCTTATTTTTATAATACATCAATTATAACTTACATCAAACATGGATGTCTGCCTGTTCAAAGCTGTTGCACTTTTTCATGGTCAGCAGGATCTTTATTTGAGCAGACTACACACAGTTGTAAGTTTTGCTACTAATTAACCTTTTTTGTACTAGTAACGTTGTGAAAAGTTCAACAGGGTGTTGGAAAACAAATTGAGAAGCAAAGTAGGGTAATATAAGAACTAGGATATGAGATAGATAAAAACATGAAGCACTAAAACTGTGTAAATTTCTGATCGCTCGCTTCCATAAAGTGCTTTTCTTAGATTTTTTTTTAATATTTCCAAAATAATATCGCTCGCTAGTAAAAATTTTTTTCGCCTGCCAAAATTCAAATTTCAGAAAAAAAAAACAAATAAAAAAATTTCGCTCGCTCGCTACCCTTTTTCAAAGAAATAGTCCGAAGAACTAGAAAGTAACTTGGTTTAGCCTTACAAAACTCTATAATGACTGCCAATGAAAAAATATATATTGAATTTACTTTCAAAATCATAGAATTATTTAGTACATGTACATATGTCTAAACTATATCTTTACACGATCTGAATGTCATGTCTTAAAGATCTGTATTTTCTTTCTTGTTTCATTCGTACCAATGTAGCATGGTATGCATGGAAATCAGTAAAATACGTCTTTCATATTTTGTTTTGGGGAGGAAAGACATAGTAGTATTCTGTTAGAAATACTAACGAATGATATATGATTCACTGGGCTTTTATCAGGCCATATAATCTGTGTATTGTTTTTTTTTTTGTTTTTTTTTTTTTTCATGCACAGTTTTACTTTATATCATAAACAGATTCTATTTGGTTAAACAGGAAGCTTGTTTTCAAAGAAATACATGATATAACCTCAATGCAACTGCCACAGAATCTAAATGTGTGAATTAACTGAGTTTTATATATCATAGTTTTTTGTACATAAAGTAATTTTGTTTTTATTGTATATGTGTCTAAGTTTCACTAATTGACATCTTATCTCAATACAGCAGCGTTATATGGATATTTTTGTTGAATTGACTGTTAAGAAAGATCGCGTGTCTTCTCGATATTTTATCCTAAAATTATATAGTTCAGTTTTCTTTCCATCCCACACAATTTGACGATTTTGCATAATCTGAAAGCTTAAGAAAGAGCTCCGTGACCCATACTTTTTACTTTTTTAAAAACACGATATCGTTTTCTCGTTTGAATTGTGTTACATTTTGTTATGTCGGGGCCTTTTATAGCTAGCAGGCGGTATTAGTTTGCTCATTATTGAAAGTCGTTCGGTGACCTGTAGTTGTTCACGTGCTTGTACTTTGACCTTTTTGGGACAGTTGACTCATTGGTTGTAATACCAAACGTCTTTAATGTTATTAATACATATATTGCAGATAATAAAGAAGTAACTATTCCTGTTAGTTCTCCAATTAAGCTTGAATGTGATGTAGATTTGAGAGTTATTAACAATATCAATGTTACAATCAGACGAAGAAACACTTCATGTTTTACAACATCTGGAGAGTGTACCATGCCAATGCACGCCATTGTCACTATTAAGGAAGAATGCAACAAACAGATATCATGTGAAGTTGATATACGTTATACTACAGACGTTAATCATTGTTTATATGATTATGGATTTTTAAATGTCTGGTATACCTGCAAAAGTAAGTGTTCAAAAGAATATTGGGGAAAGAGTGATTGATATATGCGTAATTCATATGCACCCGAAAAATGCAAGCTATGTGATGAAAACAAGTTACATATAGTGACTTTATTAAACTTTATATATTGTATGTCAACATGATGATAATCTTTTAAGAGTATATAAACAGCTGCTTGTTAACATGTATATATTACATATTCAAATGTACTATACGTATTAATATCAACAATAAAAATATGGTAAAATTATTTTATGAAATCTATTATGAAATAAATAAGTCATATTTTGTGTACTTCCAGAGATTTTAGATTTTAGTTGTGATTTTGAATCAGTCTTGTGTAACTGGTCCCCTGAACATGACGAGAATAGATTTAAGTGGAAACGTGGAAATCGGATAGATTATTTATATACACCCTCTGTCGATCATACAAGTGCATGTAAGTTTTAATAATTTTGTTGTTCTGTAATGTTCTGATTCTCTGTAGAATTAAGACGGTCAATGAATGGGGACATATACAAAGCATCGAAACATTTAAAGAAGTATACACTTACAGCTGAAATATTCTTAATTACTCCACTGAGTCACACCTGTTTGTCACTATTTAACAAACACTCAACGGATGAATTCAGAAAAGATCGATTAAAAATATGTTATTATTTGTAAATAGTACTACAGGTATCTTAAGCATTATTATAATCACTATAATAATATTATTTTCGATTCATAATGTTTTAAAAATATTTTTTCTTAACAAAAGTGAGAGTTATGTTTCTTTTAATGTGCTAGAAGGATAATGTTTCTAAGTGTCAATCAATTTCAAATTGATATTAAAATAAAAGCTTAGAACCATTTCTACATCAAACACAAAATATTCCAATATGAAATTATCATAAGATTCTTTAAGTACGGTTGTGACACAAAATGTTTCGACTTTTTACATATAAATGCGATATAATTATTATGAAATGCTAGTTAATGACCAATTGAAACCGTTTTATTAGTGTTTTTATTCACCACATATCTTTAAGCTTTGACTCTTTACAAGGCATTACCAAATGTAATTATAACTTAAATACCACATTCCAAGGTAAGTTCAAAAAATAAAAGTCCATAACAACCGACAAATTAGTTACCTTTACTAAATTGTAATGAGTAATGGATTAAGCATGCAGATCAAGATTTGCACTTCTTTGAGTCCTGACATAACTTCCTTTGCAGTAGGTTTTTTTTTCTCTTTTAGAGATGCGCTTTGCTCTATCAAATGATTTGGATTCTTTTGTCATCCTTAATTTCAGGGTGCACGTTTTTATTTATTTTATGAAATATGAAAACAACACGTTATAAATTGCATGCGTTAGAAGCGTTTTTCTGGATTAACCTTCATCAGTTGTTTCGATATGCTTTTTGAATATTATTAATTACATAGTGCGCTAGCTAGTGACCTAATACGATATATATGGGGTCAGTAAATTCCATATGGGGTGAGAGCGAAAAGTAATAACGCAACTGTTCATACCTATTGTATTATATGGTACTTCGTTCTTGTCCTGAATATATATGCAATTATATTTGTTACTGTACGGGAAGCACCAATAATCAATCAATGGCCATTCTCAAATAAAATACAGCTTTATATAATACAAATAACAACAAGTAGATATACTTTTTTTTTTAGAAAAAAATGAGCCTTACATATCCTAATATGCAACGGTAACTCGCATCTGGCGTTCAATATGTTAAGCCGGGTATTAATGATGAATTTATTTACTATTTCTGATAAAATAAAAAATGATTAATATTGTAAATTTCAGCAACTACAGGTAAATACGTATATATATATGCAGCTGGTTCGAAACTTGATGACATTGCAAACCTAGAAAGTGGAGAAATTGTGGCCGTGGAGCAACAATGCCTATCTTTTTGGTACTTTACGACAAATTCTAGAGACAGTGTTTTCGTATACCAAAACGAAAAAGAATTGGTTGATTTGTCAGATAAGGAAGAAGAAAAATGGCATCATATACAAATTTATTTGGAAAAGAATTCATATGATTCGTTCAAGCTTGTTTTTAAAGTGGTACGTGGAAATGGGTGGAAAAAACATTATGGTGCAATAAGTATTGACGACATCTTAATTGAAAACCAAAATTGTAATTGTAAGTACATGTAGACACGTTGGGTATATTTTAAAAGATGTTATTGATGTGCCCACCTTTCCTATTGGGACAATGCAATTTGACATAATTATTTTTATTTTCAATCAAACGATATTATGTTTGTTTAATTATAATGTCCTCAAGCTGTATTGTTGAATCTTCTACATGTAGCAATTAGAACTTTGTCAAAAGTAATTGGGACACTCATTAGACCCAATTTCACGCCTGTTTAAATTGACTACCCATTAGCGAGTTTTCAGTACGTTTTCATATATAGTTAATGTAGACTTGTTTTTAATTCAGAATTGTTGAAACTAGAAAATTCTAATTTGCGCATTAAAAGAACAAAAAATCAATAAAAAATTTCAGAAGAATGTTGAACGCATCTATACCATTGGACTTGAGATAAAGAATACAACAGATACAGTTAAGTCTGCTTCATATCTTGACTTATATCTACAAATTGACAATGAGGGCCTTTTGAAAACAAATCTTTACGACAAAAGAGATGATTTCAGCTTCCCAATTGTGAACTTTCCATTTCTATGTAGCATCATTCCAGCAGCGCCTGCATACGGAGTATATATCTCCCAGTTGATACGATATTCCAAGGCTTGTGTTTCCTATCATGATTTACTTGATAGAGGGTTGCTGCTCACAAGGAAGCTATACAACCAAGAGTACCAATTGGTGAAGTTGAAATCATCCCTTCGTGAATTATAGGGACGCCATCACGAGTTGGTTGACCGTTATGGAATATCTGTTTCACAGATGACGACGATTATGTTCCAATTGTCGTAACTACAATCTCGTCCATTTTCCCCGAATGTGACCTACCGAATTAGACATATCACCAGGTTTGTACTTACATGGGCAACACGACGGGTGCCACATGTGGCCCGAGAACACAGTTATTTCGTAGTGCATTTCTTTTAGACAATAAATTCAAATTTAAAAAATCGCACCTGCTCTATCTCAAAAAGATTTTTACAGTGTAGTGTACTACTATTGATACAAATAATATCAAAATTATAGAAACTTCTACCAGCTCGAACTCAAAATATTGACAATTTTGTGTTAAGGGGGGCTAAAATTCAGTTTGACAGCTTCAGACATTCGAATTTTTGACCTTTTTTAACTGGACCAAATCACTACTTAACATAAAGATTCAGCACCCAATTTTTTTTAACATGTAATTCCATCCTCTTACTTAATATTTCATGCATAAAATATCAAGAATTAAATTGGGAAAGTGTATCAAAAAAAAATGCAAGTTATACACTGTTCACACTAGGGACTATATTCGTAGACAACGAAAACCAAAGGACGATAACTGTGTCCTTGGACCTAATAGGATAGAAAGACTTGACCAATTTTAATAAAACTTTGCATGACCTAAGCTTAGGAAATTATAAGATAGTTGGCCAAGTTTCATGGCCATAGAATATATAATATAGAAACTAGGGCCATTTTAATATTGAAATTTGGATGTTTATTTTTGACGTTTAAATCAAATATTTTCAACTGTCAAGATTTTGGCCTAAAAAATTTAAATATTGCAAAAATTTGCTTTTTAAATACTCTTGAATATAATATAATAAGTATTAAAAGCAACGGAACACTCATTTGATTTATCAGATTTATCACAGTTATTCAAAAGTCAAATTTATATGAGCCTGTGCTTGAAAATAGAGATTTTCAAAATAAGGGAATCCTTACATAAACATGCATTTTTTTCAACCAATTTGAAGTTTTTGAAGTTTTTTAACCATACATTATTCTTCCATATATATTAAATGTACTTAAAATGTAAAGAAAAATTACAAAAAGCATACCACATGAGTATAAAATGGTCTTAGGCCATGTAAGACTGAGAATTATTTAGAGTCGATTTAGGCCGTAGGCCATATTTACATTTAAAAATGCACACAGAGGCTATAAGAAATGGAAATTTGTTACTTTTTGCTCATTTCTATGCTAAGATGTTATGATACAAGAAGTCTAATTGCAAAAGGACTCTTGAATTCAACTTTTTTTTGCAGACAGTATGGTCTGATGACCAGTTTTTCACTTTTTAATGGAAAACTTGCATGTAGTTTTAGTCTCAATTGGCATATATTTGAACCACTTTCTATCCTAAAGAAGAAAATTATGGTAGCATATGAAATGAATAGGGTGTACTGATCATTGTTAAGTGTTTTTTTTACAGATTTAGTGAAATATTTGTGATGGACTACAGATTTTATGTACAAAGCTCTTCACATTTCACATACATCAAACAGGCCGTTTAACCAGGGACATAAATACAAATATTCTGCACATTTTTCCTGTGATAATCTACTTTTCTCTAGATGCAGAGTTCACAAATAATTAATTAAATTTGATTTAAGCATAGAAACACAAATATCAGGAACATAAAAAGCTGTCAGATAGAAAGTCAGCATGGCTCTTAGGCATAAAATGGAAATTGCTTTAAAATGCTTATTTTAGCCGTATAATGCCAAAATGGGACATTTTAACTAATTTCTGTCAAACAAAGATGTAAATCCTTTACTTTTATTGAGTTTGACAAATTGAAACCAGCAAATCATTCAGGAAAGTTGCCAAAGTACAGAATCTACATTTACGGAATTCATCTCTTAGGCCCGAGAACACAGTTATTTCGTAGTGCATTTCTTTTAGACAATAAATTCAAATTTAAAAAATCGCACCTGCTCTATCTCAAAAAGACTTTTACAGTGTAGTGTACTACTATTGGTACAAATAATATCAAAATTATAGAAACTTCTACCAGCTCGAACTCAAAATATTGACAATTTTGTGTAAAGGGGGGCTAACATTCAGTTTGACAGCTTCAGACATTCGAATTTTTGACCTTTTTTAACTGGACCAAATCACTACTTAACATAAAGATTCAGCACCCAATTTTTTTTAACATGTAATTCCATCCTCTTACTTAATATTTCATGCATAAAATATCAAGAATTAAATTGGGAAAGTGTATCAAAAAAAAATGCAAGTTATACACTGTTCACACTAGGGACTATATTACGAAAACCAAAGGACGATAACTGTGTCCTTGGACCTAATAGGATAGAAAGACTTGACCAATTTTAATAAAACTTTGCATGACCTAAGCTTAGGAAATTATAAGATAGTTGGCCAAGTTTCATGGCCATAGGATATATAATATAGAAACTAGGGCCATTTTAATATTGAAATTTGGATGTTTATTTTTGACGTTTAAATCAAATATTTTCAACTGTCAAGATTTTGGCCTAAAAAATTTAAATATTGCAAAAATTTGCTTTTTAAATACTCTTGAATATAATATAATAAGTATTAAAAGCAACGGAACACTCATTTGAGTTATCAGATTTATCACAGTTATTCAAAAGTCAAATTTATATGAGCCTGTGCTTGAAAATAGAGATTTTCAAAATAAGGGAATCCTTACATAAACATGCATTTTTTTCAACCAATTTGAAGTTTTTGAAGTTTTTTAACCATACATTATTCTTCCATATATATTAAATGTACTTAAAATGTAAAGAAAAATTACAAAAAGCATACCACATGAGTATAAAATGGTCTTAGGCCATGTAAGACTGAGAATTATTTAGAGTCGATTTAGGCCGTAGGCCATATTTACATTTAAAAATGCACACAGAGGCTATAAGAAATGGAAATTTGTTACTTTTTGCTCATTTCTATGCTAAGATGTTATGATACAAGAAGTCTAATTGCAAAAGGACTCTTGAATTCAACTTTTTTTTGCAGACAGTATGGTCTGATGACCAGTTTTTCACTTTTTAATGGAAAACTTGCATGTAGTTTTAGTCTCAATTGGCATATATTTGAACCACTTTCTATCCTAAAGAAGAAAATTATGGTAGCATATGAAATGAATAGGGTGTACTGATCATTGTTAAGTGTTTTTTTTACAGATTTAGTGAAATATTTGTGATGGACTACAGATTTTATGTACAAAGCTCTTCACATTTCACATACATCAAACAGGCCGTTTAACCAGGGACATAAATACAAATATTCTGCACATTTTTCCTGTGATAATCTACTTTTCTCTAGATGCAGAGTTCACAAATAATTAATTAAATTTGATTTAAGCATAGAAACACAAATATCAGGAACATAAAAAGCTGTCAGATAGAAAGTCAGCATGGCTCTTAGGCATAAAATGGAAATTGCTTTAAAATGCTTATTTTAGCCGTATAATGCCAAAATGGGACATTTTAACTAATTTCTGTCAAACAAAGATGTAAATCCTTTACTTTTATTGAGTTTGACAAATTGAAACCAGCAAATCATTCAGGAAAGTTGCCAAAGTACAGAATCTACATTTACGGAATTCATCTCTTAGGCCCGAGAACACAGTTATTTCGTAGTGCATTTCTTTTAGACAATAAATTCAAATTTAAAAAATCGCACCTGCTCTATCTCAAAAAGACTTTTACAGTGTAGTGTACTACTATTGGTACAAATAATATCAAAATTATAGAAACTTCTACCAGCTCGAACTCAAAATATTGACAATTTTGTGTAAAGGGGGGCTAACATTCAGTTTGACAGCTTCAGACATTCGAATTTTTGACCTTTTTTAACTGGACCAAATCACTACTTAACATAAAGATTCAGCACCCAATTTTTTTTAACATGTAATTCCATCCTCTTACTTAATATTTCATGCATAAAATATCAAGAATTAAATTGGGAAAGTGTATCAAAAAAAAATGCAAGTTATACACTGTTCACACTAGGGACTATATTACGAAAACCAAAGGACGATAACTGTGTCCTTGGACCTAATAGGATAGAAAGACTTGACCAATTTTAATAAAACTTTGCATGACCTAAGCTTAGGAAATTATAAGATAGTTGGCCAAGTTTCATGGCCATAGGATATATAATATAGAAACTAGGGCCATTTTAATATTGAAATTTGGATGTTTATTTTTGACGTTTAAATCAAATATTTTCAA